CCTCCCATAATTTTTTTAAATTTAATACTTATCTAGTACTAATTTAACAAAGGCAAACACAAACAAGCAAAGATTAATGTTAGAAAACTCCACGAACATCCAGCTCCTACCCTTGCCAGCAATAGCAATATCTAACATGCAAGTTTGAGCTTATCCAGACCAGAATCCCAGAAAAGCAGGTAACTTTGATGAATGACTTCAATGATGTGATTCCAGACCATCCTGAAAGTTTCCACTCGAAATAAATGAGCATTCCAACAGCAGCTTCCCAAACAATAAAATTATTCCCCTTTACAGACTGCCATGAGCACCAGAGGTTGAAGGATCAACTGGATATACCAAAAACCTTATTAGAATCAGGAGCTTTCAATTTTCATTGACTGTCATAGATTGTTCGCTGCATTGTCACAGACAATTGCACTCATCAAAGACGTTGAAAAGCCAAAAGAAAAAACCCGCGGTGTGTCTTTTTTAAAGCACAAATATTAGTCTCTCAGAACTGTAAATAGCCTTTGCTTGTCAGATCTGCTACAGAGCCCATGCTCAAGCCACCCCTGGGCAACACCCCTGTTTGGACTCCACTGCTCTCTGTTGTTCGTGTGGGGGAAATGAGCACATCCCACTGAGCTCACGAGATGGTACTATCAGTACTTTGTACTAACCTTAGTACGAAGGTGAGAACTGTACTCTGCTGCTGGACTCTAGACCATGATGGTGATCATTCTGATCAGATTTTTTGATCCTGTATGACCTGCAGCCTCAGTTAGTATGCTCTGCCTCTTTGGCAGCACATGACATGACTAAGAGGACAGATATTAATCTCAGGTGTTCTAGAAATTTAACTTCATTTTATTTATGAGCTTAATTTATATTTCAAACTCTCATTCTGCCTAGTGGCAGAAACTTCACCTAAGCGAATTTGGAGTTCTATTCCCGACCCCTGAATAAGTATGAGTTAGTTTAGAACACCAAGGCTCTGTGCTTGGGTGGTTGTGCTATTCATTAGGTAGTCACTACTAAAAAAGATTCCAGCTCTCTTCTTCCAAATATATAGGAGGTTTGTAATTCCCCACACACCTGAAGTGTGGCCACATGACTTTTTTTGGCAAATGAGATGTGCAAGCAAGTGGCATTTCCAGAAGGAAGCTTTAAGTGTCAGTCCATACTTCTCCCCATTCTTTCTTTCTTTATTTTTATTTTTTACTAGAAAGCCAATGTCAAACTTCACGCGCAGAGGGAGGTGTTTGTGTGGCCCTCAGCCCAGCCTGCACCCTCTCCAATCTGGATCCCTCTTACAGTCCAGGACGGCTGCCTCCCAACTACTCGCCTGCTTGCCTGATTGCCCCTAACTGCTTCTCCTGCCAGCCCGATCACCCCTTAACCACTCCCCTGCCAGCCTGATCCATGCGTAACTGCTCCCCTGGCAGCCTGATTGCCCCTAACTGCCCTCCCCTGCAAGCCTGCCCCCCCCCCCCATTGCCCTTCTCTGCAGGATTGGTCCCCCCAATTGTCCTTCCCCACAGGCCTTGTCCCTCCCAACTGCCTTCCCCTGCAGGTCTGGTTCTCCCAACTGCCTTCCCCTCCAGGCTTTGTCACCCCCAACTGCCTTTCCCAGCTGGCCCAGTCACCCCTAACTGCCCTCCCCTGCAAACCTAGTTAGCCCTAACTACCATCTCCTGATGGCCCAGTCAATCCTAACTGCCCTCCCCTGCAGGCCTGGTCCCCACAATTGCCCTCCCCTGAAGGCCATCTTGTGTTTTGGAGTGATGGTCAATTAGCATATTACCTCTTTATTATATAGGATTCCTTTGCCAACTTTCCAGACAGAGTTTATTCTAATAGGTCTCTAGGTGAGGACAGCACTGACCTAGCTCAGAGATTTCAGCTGATCTGCAGTAGACCTGTAGTGCGAATGAGAAATGAGGCTTTGTTATTGAGCCACCTAGGCTTGTTTTGTTGTTTTTGTTATCTCACCATATTCTAGTCTATCTACAGGTAATGGTAACCGTCCAAAATGTCCTCATTCCCACCTTGTCTTCAACTTGTCAATCTGTGGGGTCAGTGAGAAAGGCACCTAGTGTTAGACCTACGGTCAGCAAACTGAGGCTCAGGAGCTACATTCAGCACTTTGGCCCCTTGAGTGTGGCTCTTCCACAAAATACCACAGCCTGGGTGAGTCTATTTTGTAGAAGTGGTGTTAGAAGAAGTTTAAGTTTAAAAAATTTGGCTCTCAAAAGAAATTTCAATTATTGTACTGTTGATATTTGGCTCTGTTGACTAATGAGTTTGCTCACCACTGTGTTAGACTAATGGGGTGAGAACTGACCTGGGTTCAGTAACCTTGGTTCTTGAGTTCTGGTTAGGAAATAATTCAGAGCCAAGATTCAAACTATAAGAGAACATTTATTTAGAAAATCAAAGAGATAAAAGAAGTAATTGGTAGAAGAAGTAGGCTGAGGAAACAAGTTATGGAGGTAAAGGAAAGTCAAGGTGATGTGCTTGATGGGATGGGGAGGAGAATGGGGAAGGGCAAGGTGCAGCCTTATTCCTGGGAGAGCAGCTAGGTCCTCCTCCTAAGAGTTTTAAGGGTGTCATCTTCAGGGACAGTCCCAGGGGAAAATCTCCATAGACCAGTGGTTCTCAACCTTCCTAATGCCTCAACCCTTTAACATAGTTCCTCATGTGTGGTGACCCCCAACCATAAAATTATTTTCATTGCTACTTCGTAACTGTAATTTTGCTACTGTTATGAAATGTAATATAAATATCTGTGTTTTCTGATGTTTAGGCGACCCTGCTAGCAGTTCCCAACCTGTGGGTAATAGTTCCCAACCTGAGAACCACTGCTGTAGAGTCTAAGACCATTGGAAATTGAATAATGACCTGAGGTCTGCTGTTTGTCTGATTTTGCTGTTTCTCTGGGCCTGGAGCTGAAAAACAACTGAGGCTTAGATGTTATCTCCAGGGAAGAAAGGTCTAAACTGCTTGACCATCAATGTGCTAAAGGAGGAAAGGTAACCATGGAGATGAGGTCTCACCCTACAATTGTACATTGCTAGGCATCCAGAGCTATCCGCTTGGTGACCTTCTGTACCTGGCCCATCGTCCTTGCTCTGCTCATGTCTGTCTAACAAATCCACACTGGCTAAATCATCGTCCATTCCCCACCTCAAAGCCTCTCAGGTCGACCTTTCCTAGCTGTCTCTGAGCCCAGTGCAATTCCCAATTGCCACAGCATCACCCTGGGCCATGTAAAATTCTGAGAGGTGTTCAGGCATTCCATGCCACCTGGAGTCTCATGACTCCCCTAAGATACTAACAAGGAAAATGAGCAAGCCTGCCTCCTCTCTAGCTGGGCTTCCCACCATTCCCACTTCTCCAGGAGGCTTTGTCCCAAATACTAAAATAGTATGCCTTCTTCTAGCTTTTCCTAAAAGCTCTACTTGCCCTATCCAGAGAGCCGTGTTCTGACTTATCTGTAGCTCCCTTCATACCCCAATCTATTTATGCTTGTTCGGTGTTTCCCAACCTCCATCTCCTGGACTTTTACAACTCAAAAGCCAAGAATTGCCATCTCTTTGTCTCTGAATTCTGCCAGAGCCCTTCATCCTTGGAGGCAATGAATGAGAATACACCAGGTTAAGTTTGAATGGAGTGGAGACCAAGGAAATGACCAAGGTGCAGGTGATCTCAACTGACATTTCAAAATATCCTTCTGTACATGAGTTCTGACCAATTATGAAGCTGAGAATAATAAGAGCCTGGCTGAGAGGAACCCAATGTGTGACTATTTTAAGCCACTGTACAATCTCAATGGCCACATTTTAGTGTGCTTTTGTACAATTGTTATTCTTGCAAAAGTCAGTGTGAAAGAAAGATGTGTAGGCTCTTGGGCATGATGTCTCTCCAGAAAGCATATATAAGATATTTGAAGGATGACAGTATCTCTCCTAAGTTTCCTGAAATCTTCAGACTTTGAGAATTTGATACAGGAAGCAGTTAACTAACAAATGACAATGAAAACATTCTCTTCATATTTACACTTTAAGTGTACAACATGCCCTGTCTGTGGCAGCCACTTAGATCCTGAAAGGGTCTCCCATTCTTCCCCCTGTGCATTTGAAAAACTCAAGACATAAATGTAGACCCCAGGGTTTCTCTACGGGAGGACATAAAGCATTCAAAAGTCAATGTCTTGCTGAAACCGGTTTGGCTCAGTGGATAGAGCATTGGTCTGCGGACTGGAAGGTCCCAGGTTCCATTCCGGTCAGGGGCATGTACCTTGGTTGCCGGCACATCCCCAGTAGTGGGTGTGCAAGAGGCAGCTGATCGATGATTCTCTCTCATTGATGTTTCTAACTCTCTATCCCTCTCTCTTCCTCTCTGTAAAAAATCAATAAAATATATTTTTTAAAAAAGTCAACGCCTGAGTGGGATATACTTCACCTCCTGAGGTATGGTCATCTGCCAGGCCTGGCGATTTTTCATGGGTGGGGAGAGGTAACAAAGTGAAGTCCAGAAATCACACCGCTCACCACATGATACCATTCATTTTTCTAATCTAGGCAAACCACCCCATTCTTGGTGTTGGTGCAGAAAGGAGCAGACCAACCCACTCCTCACCTCTTTAACTGGCCTTGCAAGGCAAACAGATCGCGGAGATCGCCTACAGGTTGGCCTGGCCTCATCCTTTCGGAGGTGGAGAAGGGCCAGGCGCCAAAGGCCAGAGTGGAATTAGGACCGCGGAGGCGGAACAGGAGGGGAGGGCTCAGGGGCGGGGCTCTGGCGGTGAGGGGCGGGGCCATGGCGGCGAGGGGGCGGGGCCAGGCGGGGCGGCGGGGAAACGGGCTGTGGATGGACGGCCCGAGGGGTGGGGCGCGGAGGGATCCGGCCTGGGAGTCGGTCGGACCGGGACCTGGGAGTTCCGTTCGGATTTCCCCGCGGCGTGAGCCCCTCGGCCGGTTCGCACCTGCGCCCTCGGAGCGCGTCTCCGGTCCCCGATGGCGGCTGCTGCGGGCCTGCGGGCCTTCGGGGCAAAGGTTCCCGCCTGGCTCTGGCGCGGCCGGTGCGGGCCGCTCGCCGCCGGCTTCTGCAGCGGAGGGCCGACCGGGGCCCGGCGTCCGGAGCCGGAGCCGGGGTCGCGGCTCACTAGCTCGCGGCAGCGGGACGGCATCAGGTCAGGCTGCAGGCTGGCGGGCTGCTCCCGGGAGGACCGGGCTGGCGGGGAGCGGGGAGAGAGCTGGACAGAGGCCACCCCACGCGGAGCCCCCCCCCCCTCCGGGGGCGCCGCCCGCTGCCCTGGACCCCCGTTATCTGTCACCGCGGAATCTGGCCCCGAGGTGGAATCGCGGGTGCGGTACTTAGGGGAGCCCCTTGCCTGGGCGCAGGGGCGTTTGAGACCCTGCAAGTCCCACACAAGAGGACTCCAAGTGGGACTGCCTCGACGGCCCCAAACCCTCAGACCCGCGGGCTCAGTGTGCGCAACTCTGCCGGTGCCCCCATCGCGCGCCTGTGAGAAAGCCTTTCCTAGAGGGGCTGGGCCAGGGGGGACCTGGCTCCAAGGCCGGGGGAGGCCTGGCAGAGCTGCTGCTTGGCCCTCACCCAGAAGTGCCCAGTCAATAAATAGAGTGAAGGACACACCGTCCTGAGACCTGGCCTTTGTCTCTACAGGCCCCAAGCCCCTTAAAACCACACCTGTGCACACAGTGGGAGCAGCGCCATGAAGTCAAGGGTGAAGGGCCTCTAGCCCCATCCAGGCCTCATCCTCACCTTTGCCGGGTCAGTCAAGGACCCCATGCGAGACTTTTTTTTTTTTTTAAGCATATCTAAGTATTTAAAAGTTACAAACTAACTGCTAAATGTGTTTTCTTCTGCTGCCCCGACAAAGCAGTACTTCATAAAACCTCCAAGGTCATGTTTGAATGTACAAACCTCAGGCTTGTAGGAGTCCCCCCAAAATGGAGAGCCAGCTGCTGACCTGCAGCTTTTCTTTCCAGCTTCTGCTCACCACTCTGGCCTCTTCAACCCTCCTTCCCGCTGCTCTTCCAGAGGCTTGGCCCATAAATCTGCAGACACCCCATCCCCATGCCCTCTCTTGTTTTCTTCACAGACAACTCCTCTTGGTTAGTCCTGGGATCTAGGGTACCCACTGCACAGCCAGGGAACTCCAGGGTCTCAGGTAATTGCAGCAAAGCTTGCAAGGGGAGGTTATTCCAGGGAAGCATTTCCCATTATCCTAGTGGTCTCCTGCTCGCTTGGATGGGCAGAACTGGAAAGAGGCTCAGAGCTCCGTGTTCCAAAGTGCAGGACCCAGGCAGGGGCCCTCCTATCCATTTTCAAAGGCAGTTTGAACATTTGGTTCCATCTGATCTGGAGCCTGACTTGTGGCATGGCGGCCTCGTTGTAAAAGGAGACCTGGTTGAGTTCTCCAGAGTGAAACATGGAGCAGAAAGGGAGATAGAGAAGAATCACCTATCATAAATACTGGGAATTGTTCAGGAGGAAGGAAGCCCCCAGATCCAGCATGGAAACAGTACTATTGTTACTCACTAAGTAGGTGAGTTCAATTGAGCAGCTCAGTCAAGCTTTCAGTGTTCCCTTTCAAAGCTGGGCCTCAACAATAGGCAAGCGCCAGCTATGAATTGGGTTCTGCTCTAGGCACGAGAAAGAGCTCTGAAGAGGGATGGCATTTGGATGTTAGCAGAAAGCGAGGAGCCCATGGAAGAAGTAGAGGACTAAAAAGCCAGGAGAGGAGGAATGCGTTTCCAGAAGGAGAGCATGATCCAAATGGCCAGTGGGTTTGGTTCAGACAATTAGGAGCTGTCAGGTGGGAATAGTTCTAGTGGAGTGGCAGGAAGCCTGGTTAATGACACTGGTTGAAAAGTGAACTCAGCAACTTGGAGCACTCTCAAAGGGTGTGTCATATGCAAGCCAAAGGATTAATAAGATCCATATTGAGCAGACACTGCCATGAAGCACTGGAATCAGGCTGGCATCTTTTTACACAATTTTGCCTGAGGCCTTAGACTTTTATTTAAGCATCTGTCATGGATAGGATGTCAGCTTTTTGAGTATACTACAGCAAGCACATTCATTATTTTACTGGAAGGTTTATCAGCAATTCTCTCATTACCATCTCCAGGCCACTTCCCCCCAACCCCCATACCCCACATACAGGTTTCACAATCTTATCAGCATATCAGCTGCAAGTCATTTTTGTACTTAGGAGACAGCATGCAAATGAGAAACAGTGATGACTATCATAGCCACCTAAGGATGGCAGCAAAATGGAAATGGCATTCCAAAGAAAATGGTATTACACAGATTCAGTCATCAAAGTAGTTTTCCAGAAAACAGTGGCATAGGAGGCTATTTGTGGAGAATCCAAGTTGACACATAGCCGTAGGAATATCAGATTCAAAAAAGAAAGAGGAAGGCAGAAAAAATGTGGGTGGGAATCAGATATAAAACATATAATATTAATCTGGTGTTTGGCTTGCTGCTTGTTCCGTATAACAGCAAAAATAAGACATTTCTGTGTTTGGGCAGTAAGACGACAATACAGGTTCATCAGCATATTTAAAATAGTGAGCAGGCCTCTGAATGCCAGCTTCTAGTGAGATAACATGTCCAAAAGAGCCCTCTTGCTGTAGGTTCTGGCCTTCTGTTCATCACATACCATCCCATGTTCAGACAGCATGAATTATTGTGGAGAATTATAGGATGCCACTATAAAAGATGGAAAAATGCTGTCATAGGTATGTATGGGCAGCTGCACCTTGGCTGCCTATTCTGTGTGGTGGGTGGGAGGCAGATTCTTGGTTCTTTTCCTAACCTAATTTATTTCTGAGGAACAATGGGAAGAAGTTGAAGGTGGCCCTGTGTCAGATGCCTCTGGCTTCTGCCGCTGTCTTACAGACTGCGAACCCTCTATGCGTGGGCGGCAGTGATTTTGGGAAGACTCTGACTTGCCCTTTCGGTGCTGACAGTAATGTCTCTGACAGCAAATCTGAAAAAGAAACAAACGAAGGGAAGAGGGAGAAAATGCAGCCTGCATCTCGGGATGCCTCCTTGTTTTGACTTAGTTGTAACTCCGGAGAGTTGACAGACCATCTCAGTTGCCTCAAAGCACCAGCACTTCTCTTTTCTGGTGTTTTAAAAACAGCTCCCAAATTAGAAAGGAAATGCAGAGGCCCTCACTTGTTTTGACTGCTGCATGACCCAGTAATTATAAAATGGTCTTCACAGGAACATTGTCTTGAGCAATCCAAAGAGGAGGAATGCGCTGTCACTGGCAATGCTGAAATCTCTCCGAAGTGACATTCTTCATGAAGCTGAAAGCGAAGATCTGAAAGTCATTATCATTTCAGGTACTTATCTTATATCCCTCCTCAGGGTTCTGAAGACTTTTCCCAAAATTCTTTTGTTAACTGGGGATCCCCTCAGTTAATGGGAGAATTGTTTGGAAGCTCCTTTACAAGAACATTCATTATGAAAAACTATTGTGAAGTGGGGGGGCTTGGTCCTAACACTTACTATTTTTCGTTGTTGACATTATTTCCCCCCTAACACTATTAACTGGAAATTATAGCAAAGATTACTGTGCAGGGAAAATGTCTTTCCTTTTTGTCAGATACGTAATATTCCAATTGAAATTAGATAATTGGTTTCCTCGTGGACTGGATAAGAGGAGCTTAATCACTGATCCTTTGGGTAGCTTAGCAAGTGGATGGGATCAGGCTGCTCAAGCATTTGATTGGTTTGTTTGTCTGTTCCTACGAAACTTTGAACCAGTATCTGCAATCTTAAGCAGTTTGCTCATTTCTTTCCTTGCTCTTCTCCAGTAAAAGTTGTTAATGAATTATTTAGTGATGGTGGTGATGGTCCACGTCAGTGGTCGGCAAACCGCGGCTTGCACACCACATACAGTGGCCCCTTGAGTGTGGCTCTTCCACAAAATACCATGTGGGGGCGTGCACATACAGTGCAATTGAAATTTCTTGGCCCATGCACAGAAGTCAGTTTTTGGCCTGGGTGAGTCTATTTTGAAGAAGTGGTTCTAATGCCAAGCCACACTCAAGGGGTCAAAGATCTGCATGTGGCTCATGAGCCGCGGTTTGCTGACCATTGGTCTAAGTAATATCAGTGTCAGCATTTTAAAGCATCCATAGAAATATAAAATGGATGATACCATGTGATGTGCTTTTTTTGTTATAGAAATTAAGGGTCAGTATTTCTGGAGGCAGATACTCAGAATGTTACCTTCTTACCTGTGGTTGAATATAAATTACCAACTGTTTTTATGGCAAAGGAAAAAGATATAGGTCAGATATCGTTCAACAGCCACAGGGATGTTACCCAGATGCAGCAAAGACAGTTAACTTCCATACAACACAATTTCCTCACTTGTTTAAAGGGAATAATATTGCCCATCAAAAGAATTACAACAAAAGGAAAATATGAGAAAGTGTTACCAGCTTATCAGTGGAATTGCATTTTGTTATTATTTTAACAATAACAATAAAACCACATCCTTAGGTCCATGTAAAAAATAAAGAGTTCTCGCCATAGCTGGTTTGGCTCAGTGGATAGAGTGTTGGCCTGAAGACTGAAGGGTCTTGTGTTCCATTCCGGAAAAGGGCACATGCCAAGGTTTCAGGCTCAATCCCCAGAATTGGGTGTGCAGGAGGCAGCCGATCAATGATTCTTTCTCATCGTTGGTGTTTCTATCTTTCTCCCTTTCCCTTCCTCTCTTTAATCAATAACAAATATATATATTTTAAAAATAAAGAGGTTCTCTTTACCTTCTGACCATTCTGATCGCAGCCTGTACGGATAGCTAATGTCTGTAGACTAAATGACAAGGCTCGCTGCAGGAGGCACAGTGGATTTTGATGGATCTGCATGAGTCAAAAATTTAGGCCAGATCAAATTCAAAAACCAAACTGTGAGACTGGAGGGACAACTCTGAAAGAAGTTGTCCATCTGCTTTGGTTACTGCATGTGTAATTGCACGTGTTCATTGGTTTCCACCACGGACTTTTTAGAATACAGATGCCTCACGTTGAATTGTCATCACAAAATACTGGCTATAACTGTTCCAGTTAACCGGAATTATTCTTACCAAACTGGGCCATTAACTCTCTGTCTACAGCAATGATACAATTGTTTATTAAAATGATTCAATTGACAACTAAGTGACCTTCTCAGCTCTGCTGTTTACACCTTTTCATTTTCTTTTCTCATTTGGAATCATTTGTAGCTGAGGGACCTGTATTTTCTTCCGGGCATGATTTAAAGGAACTGACGGATGAGCAAGGCCCAGAACATCATGCTGAAGTATTTCAAACCTGTGCTGAGGTAAGCCAGGAGGACAACTTTCATTGCAAACCTGAAAATGATAATTATACATATTAAATATTGAGTTAAGATTTTAGTTTACATGTAAGGTTTTATCTTTGAGATCTAACTACTGCAGAACTACTAAAACCTCTGTGGCCATTGGTGAGTCCTTCATCCAAGCAACAATTTGGTTTAGACTTTTAAAAAGCAACCATAGTTTGTTATTGATATGTGATATGCCAAAGAAAGGGAAATATATGTTGGTATTGATAGCTGCCAGGTCCAGCATCATGGGTATGTCTTGGTATATATGTCTTAAGATATAAAAGGTAGAAATGTACATCTTTATAGAGAAAGAACCTAAGATTATAATTTAATTTTTTTAAACTAAAACAGTTCTGTCAGTGGAAAAGAGAGAGCATTCATAAATGGAATAACAATAACAATTTTAAAATTAATTTTTAAACCCTCTTTCACCTCTAACTAAAAAATTAACCTCTTCATTTTCACTTTAACAACATTAACAAGGAAAATTTCCAACAGATATTGAAGAGGAAGGACAAAAAGTTCAAGATAATTTAAAATTCTATTCCCTGAGATTCCACCTAACCGCCCAGGCTCCCTCTGTATGAGCCTGAGTCCCCAAGGTCTGGCCTAGAACTGGGGTTCAGTGCTGTCGGAACTAGGGTTCAGCACAGTCCGGAGCTTTTATCTCCTTCCTGCTAGGGAACGCCAGCCAGGCACTCAGCCTCCCCCTTTTATCCTGCTCAGTCCTCTCCACGCGCGCAACCTGTCTCCGTACCTTAGGCTTTTACAGCTCCTCTGATTTTCTTTCTGGTTTTCTCTTTCCTTCTCGTTATAGCATTTCCAGTCAGTCTATTTTCCTGTAGTTCTGGGTAATGTCCATTTTGTATTTTAGTTGTATTTTATTGAAATTGTTATGTGAGGCTGCAGTTAGGTGTTACCTATCCCGCCACCTTGGATTCTCCTCTCCATCTTAATTTTTTAAGGAAATTCCAAATACCAGTTTCAGACCTTTCACACTAGAGCTCCACACAGCTCAGTGGGAACAGAACTATTTGTTCCGCAGAGAGAATCAGCTTGGCTCTTTTGCAGGGCTGCTGAGGAAGCAGCTGGAGAGGAGGGGACTGCAACCCCGAAGAGGCCAGGGGCTGGGAGTCAGATAGATGTGTGCATTCAGACCCCACAGCCACCACTTATGGGTCTGTGGCTGTAGGCCAATTTCTTCCCCCTGAGCCTTGTGTCTCAATTGTAACTTAGTGTTCCTTCCTCCTGGGCTTCTCAGGAGTCAAATGGCACAATCTGGTCCACCGTCAGTATTCAATCCAGGTTCTCTTTGTGCCTGCTTCTGTCCTTTTCCCTAGAATCTGATGCACTAATGGGGATAAAAAGTGCTCTGAAGTAAAGTCACATGAAATAACATTAATGTTGCACCTCACTCTTGGATGGATGTGAACTGGTTATGTTTGCTCCTTCAGGTCATGATGCTGATCCAGAATCATCCCGTCCCCGTGATTGCCATGGTGAACGGCTTGGCCACCGCTGCTGGATGTCAGCTGGTTGCCAGCTGTGACATTGCCGTGGCCAGTGACAAATCCTCATTTGCAACTCCAGGTGTAAACATTGGGCTCTTCTGCTCCACCCCTGGAGTGGCCTTGGGGAGAGCAGTGCCAAGAAAGGTAATCTGACCCTCTGCAGCCTCCTCTCTAGTTGTAACCCTCACATGCACTGGAGGGTTGGCTCCAAATTCGTTTGTTAAAGTATCATTTGAATCAGGATGTTCTGCATGAAGTATAGCTGGCTGGATGCACTGCAGGCTTCCTTCTAAGACCTCCTGTCTAGGGGGGAAATGTGTAGCTTCTCACAGGTGCCTGCTTTTCACTTCACTTCGTGAATCATGCATTTTTCTCTTCCCCGTCCCTCTTTGTGGTTAGTTATGGGTTGGATTTTTTTGTTTTTGTTTTCATAAAGGCACACCTTTTTTATAATCTTATTTGAAATGCAGTTTAGATAGTTGCTCTCTAAAGGTTATCCATGACATGTAATAGCATGGTGACATGGCATTACCAAGAGGCTAGGATATGAGTGTCGCTGGCTGAGTGTTTGCTGTCAGCTTGTTGTATTCTAGAAAGGACTGGAGTAGCTGCTATACTGAGTGTGTTGGCTTTACGATAGTTGTATTTTAGGAGCATGGAACATCTTGAGCTCAGCATGTTGAGGCTGTCCCAGGAGCCATATTGTCAACGTTGTTTTGCCCTTGCTAAATCCATTTTCTTTACAAAGCTTTCTCCTTTCCTATAAGACATAAAACAATATTTATTGAACATCTTGTGAGTAGAAACCAGTGGCTTCCTTGTTATATCTTCATTCTCAATGGGAAATCTCTTTTTAAAAATGGGGGAGAGGGGTGTTGTATACCATAGCAAGTAGGAAACTAAATTGCTTTCTAGAATATCATGTCCATTTAGCATCTACTACAATAGTCAGCAGCTCTTCATATGCCTGAGGCACAAAAAAGTGAGACCCAAGCGAAATCAAGTCATCGGCTCAGAGACATTTAGGGAAGCACTCCTTTCTTCACGATGTCTCTTCATTAATTTTTACAGAGGTGTGTGCTTTTGCAGATGTTCTGAATAGAGATACCTACCAGCACACACACATGAAAACTGGCTGAACATGGGCTCCACAACTACATAAAGTGGCCTGTCCAAACACAGAGCTTCTGAAATGTGCTCAGCCCAAGGGGGTGGTTTCATCCTGTCAGGATACACATGGACTTTAAATATGGTATGTGTGTGTGTGTGTGTGTGTGTGTGTGTGTGTTTTCTACTTTGTGCCAGTACATTAAATTAAAATGCATTCATTAAAAACATTGTCAGAGCTTATTAATAAACTATCTTATAATTCTGCAAATCAGCTCACAAGGCCTTTTGCATACTAAAGGGTGGATGTCTGGTTAGCCCATCTGCAGCTATTTATCGTCAACCATGTTAAGGCATTTGAAACCTTTAAATCATGATTGTCCTGTCAGGATAAGAATCTATTCTCACTTAAAACAAACTTTCAAAAATCAAGGCTAAGAATTGAGTCCTAAAAATGTAAACATCATATTTGTCAAATTTAAATTAGTTTTTGAGAAGAAAGAGAAGGAAAATGTGGCAAAAACAGGATTTTAGTTCTGAGAGAGCCCAATTCTCAGAACCTCATTGCATGATTGTCCTGCATGAGAGGTTAAGGGGCAGGATGTTGTCAGACCAAAGTAACTTTGGCCTCCCACAGAAAGTTCTGGCAGTGCCAGGCCCACTCAGAAGAAGGGAGAGGATCTCCAGTGTTGTCCCATTCAGATGCCTGCTCTGTGTTCCTCCTGTCCTGATCCCAGGAGGCCTCTGAATCACTAGTCAGGGGTAGTGTTCTTATTTTGAAATCTTCAGAGCTTTTCCAGTTGTAACAGATCTCCCTGCGGGGCTACTTGGAGGCATAAAAATGGTTTTGGGTTCATATTAATGAGCTGAAATCACAGTAGTGATAAAGGGGATTTAGTGGGGTGAAAAGCCTGTTGGCATTCAAGGCCTTTGCCAGGTTTCAGGACTGCAGATTTTACCCTGGGTGGGCCCTCTTTGGGAGGAAAACTGGGGATTCATAAAGATCTAGACCTGAACAAAACACACCTACCTGTTGTCATTGCTTGATTGCACCCACAGGAATACATTCCATACACAGGTCTGTAAACTCCGGGGGGGTTGGGCACGTATCCCCATGCACATCCACAGGGTAGCAAGCAGTGCTTTTGCAAACTGACCTAATTGGGAAACGTGGCCTTTTTCAGGCAGCTTAAGGCCACACACACGGCTCACCAGTACCCTCTGCTGGCCACCGTGGAAAACTGCTTAGCTGTGACAGAGACCCAGGGCTGCAGCTGGTCCACTGGGAGCAGAAATGATGGCATGGAGCCCTTGTGTTCAGCCAGGCTGAGCCTGGGCATGGATAATTTTCCACGATTGTAAAGTGTTTCTCTCCTCTGGTGTGAGTTAAATAAGGTAGCTTCACTGCACCATATAAACAATGTGCCTGGTGCAGGTGCTCCCTTTGCTGTCAGAGGGCACTGGTGACCCAAATGTGGCCTTGTTCAGAAATGTGGAGCCGGTGCCTCAGCGGGTGGCACCCCTGTGGAGCACATGAAAGATCCGAATCCCCTTCTTCCAAACCAGTCATTTCTCTGCGGTAAGAACACTTGCTGCCACCTGTTTACCTACGGTAATTTATGTATCTGCAGAATCTGATTTCTCAGTTGTCTAATTAGAACTGAGTAGAACTTCCAAGCTAGAAGGAGAGTTAAGGCATTGACCCTCAGCTGGTGTGCAGTTCACCAGAGCCTGGAGAAATGCAGGGCTCAGCCCCCTGATCGACTGCATCACATCTGCGCTCTATCAGTGATTCCTGTGATTGTCAGAGGTGCCTTAGTACCTCTGAGAACATGCTCAGCACCCAAATTTACTTACTTATCAGGCTTCCCAGCCAATTAAATTAGCCTGGTGATCTCCTCAGCTTCATTCCCCTCTGAGTCCTCCAGCATCCCAGCCCCTCCACTGCCACCAGCTGGTTCTTGTCATCGGTGTGACTAGAGGGGATCTGGAAGACTGCTCTGCTTTCTGGGGCCATGATCCCTAAAACACAGAGAGAGATTCAGACATGGTTATAGCTGGAATAAGTATGTGAATAATAGCCATTGCACTTATTGGGTGCTACTGAGTGCCCAGGACTGTAGTATAAGCTGTATACATTGTCTCTAACCTTGATAATTCTGCAGGAGGATGGTAATCTTATTCCTGTTTTTTCAGCTAAGGGAAGAGAGTTAGATGGGTTAAATTGTTCCCTTAAGGTCTGTGGTTAGTAAGTGGCCTCAGGGACATCCAGACACAAGCCCCACCACCCTGTGAGTGAGCCTTGGCCTCTAGTCCTTTTTATTGTTTTTAATGCAAATAGCCTGGAAGGAGGAAGTAGTAAATCACCAACTTGTTAGGGGGACCCAAAAAGTACCCCTGAAATGAACAAGAGTTTATTAGGAGGTATTTTCTTCTCTCTCACCTCAAGTTTCAGGAGCCCAAGTAAAGATTGTTGCTTGTGCACTATAAAATAAACAGGTTTTCTTTTTTTTTTTTTTTTTTTAGGTAATGCCACTCCACTACCTAATCTGCCTGCATAAAGTCCCCATAAATCAATACAGTGCCAAACCGTATTGCCCCGCTAGGCAGGTGAGGAAACTGAGGCCCAGAAAGAGGCATAAGCTAGGCGTGGGTGACTTAGGAAGCTAAAGGTAGGCCAGGAACTCTGTCCAGGACTCGGGCCCTGACCCTATTCCAATCAAAATGTCTTTCACGAGCAGCTTTAATTTCGTTAAGACCTCCTTGGTCTCCTGGACAGAGAAGTGCCAGGATAGCAGAAGCATAATCTAGTCTCATGATTTTGAAAACCATCTAAATCAGTGGTTCTAAACTGGAGGTTGCCCTGGCCGGTGTGGTTCAGTTAAACTCTAACTGTTAAAGAGTCCTGTGCACCAGAGGCGGCAGATTCATTCCCATTCAGGGCACATCCCCAGGTTCGATCCCTGGTTGGGAGACAACGGATCAATGCTTCTCTCACATCGATGTTTCTCTTTCTCTCCCCCTTCCCCATCTCTCCCTTTCTTCCTCTAAGATCAATTAAAAAGTAAATAAATAAAATAAACTAAGAGCAATTTTGACCCTGGAGACATTTGGCAATGCCTGCAGCTTTTTCTGATCATCACAAATTGGCACCCAGTAGACAGAGGTCAGAGATGCTACCCTGTATATAGTTTGATAAATGATGAAAGTACAAAGGATTAAAATACAGCCAGAAATGAGGTAGTGCTGAGGTTGGATTGCAATTGTATTAGGCTGGTATGGTCATGGAGTACCTCACTGATGAGGTGACAGGTGGGAGAGACCTGAAGGAGATGAGGGAACAGGCCCTGAGGCTACGTGGGGGCACAGCATTGCAAACCAAGGAAATGGCAAGTATAGGACTGAGGTGACAGCACACTTAGTGTGTTCAAGGAACAGCAAAGATGTCAGCTGGGCTGCAGGAGAGTGAGCAAGGGGAGAGGGATAGGAGAGGCACTGTATTTCTTGTGGATCTGGAAACCCTTTTTCTAAATCATACATTTTAGTTTCAGGAAGCTCAGCTTTTTAGAATTACAGAATTGAGGCACAGTATGGCAGGCAGACAGAACTGAGGACACTTTGTAGAATGAGAAAGGTGTACTCCCTGTTTCTGAGGACCTCAGAAATCGGGGGGGGGGGGGGGGAGAGGATTGTGGAAAGAGAGCATTCCTACCGTATAAGTTAACATCATGCTGGACCCCTCCATCTGTCCCTAGAAAGCATTTCCTTTTATTCCCCTCCTTCTCTGGGAGACGAGGCTGCTCTTTCAACTCAGGCTGAGGTGGTAGCTTCTATAAACATCCCTTTATTCTGGGAAGTAACCACTGCACTGGCTTGTGCCAGACAATGGATGTTTTTAGTTTCATACCATCAGATGCAGCCACTGTCCGCTGTCCTGTGCGTGACCCTTGAAAGAGGCAGCTCAAATCTCCTGCCTCTGCAGGGCTGGGAGTTCAGCTTGAGGAAAGAACAGGAGGACATGGAGAGTCCTTCCTTCTCCTTGCTCCTGGAAAGATCCAATCTGTTCCTGAGAATTGGCCCAGATTGTCAGGAAGTCAGGACACCAACCATCTCAGCAGAGTGAAATGGAGAGGGTGGGACTCAGGTGGCAGGGGGTCAGGAGAGTGCCTTAATAACTTTCCGTGTTTCCTCCCCCAGGTTGCCTTAGAAATGCTTTTTACTGGGGAGCCCATATCTGCTCAGGAGGCCTTGCTCCATGGGCTGCTCAGTAGAGTAGTGCCAGCAGATCAGCTGGAGGAAGAGACCATGAGAATCGCAAGAAAGATCGCTTCCTTGAGCCGTCCTGTGGTGTCTCTGGGCAAGGCCGCCTTCTACAAGCAAGTGCACCAGGACCTTAGAACAGCCTACCACCTGGCCTCCCAGACCATGGTGAACAATGTGGCCTTGCAAGATGGGCAGGAGGGAATCAAGGCCTTCATCCAGAAGAGAAAGCCTGTCTGGTCACACTGAGTCGGCCATATTAGAGGGATGGAGGGAGTGTGACCCAGGGAGCAGCTCTCAGGATGCTTCCCCACCTCCCCCCTCCTGCTGCCTAATATCAGGAACAGCGGACAGACTGCTTCTGTACCATTAGTCATGGTCCCACTGCATGGGGTCTGTATTCAAAGCCATGGTTCCATCGGGAAAGGATGAAAGGAGACTTAAAGGAAAAACTATGCTGGGTCAGCTGTGGTAGTAAGCCTGGAATCTTATACACTTCTTCATGGGACTGTAAGTGTGGGATCACACTGACATGGGAGAAGATGACGATAAAATGAAGCATGAAAGAAAAATGCCAACCTGCTTCTGCTGTCAGTAGTTCTGTTTGCCCAGACACACGAACTATTTCCAATCCGTGAGGTGTTCTCCACATTGCACATCTTGGTTCTATTGAGAAAGAAACATGCCTATGGCTTTGGAATAATCATATGTGACTTTAAAATACTAAGTATTTAGAGAGTCTGACATTTTGTCTTTTTAACCAGAACACAAGCTGTTTGAGGAAAATAAATGAATTCTTTCTTTGTACTACAGACACTGAGTAGGTGCCTGACGTTTTTGTAGTGAATGTCATGGTCATTGGAGCTACTGTGAAACCGGGACCCTGGGTACAACCTGAGAATAAAAACATCAGGATAGGAGGGAAGGATGCAGAACACATGTCTTTCCCACTAAAGATCACCTGCTCTGGACATGCTTCCAAACTCTGCTCAGCTGCTGGTGAGAATCCATGGCAGCATCGGGCAGTTGAGTCCCCACCTGAGCAAGGGCTTAGCTTAGGACCTATATATGCTACTTTCTGCTTCTGTTTTCAGCCTGGCCAAGAAATGTCTAAATCTCCTGTCCTCAAGCTTGCCCAGTTTATCTTACCTAAGTGTAGAATGTGGTCCTAAATGTGGTCAGTACCAACCAAAAATGAGAACCATGTGGCTCTAGCCAGTGGTTCTCGCTCAGGGCAAGCATTTCTTGGTATGATGACCCATAGTGGTTTCACAGGTTTCTATTCAGATTGGCATGTTTTTTGTAGTTTTTTAAAACAAGTTTAGAAAGGTTAATAAAAGAGTTTATCTTGGAAAGGAAGAGGTTTTTCTAAGAGTGCCCCTCCTGAGCGGAAACATCATTAGAACTACCATCTGCTGGACACCTGACATACTACATTCTCCTTCAGTCTTCACCACACCCAGGGAGCAGGACCTACAGTGATCTCCACCAAACACGTGAACAGCTGAGGCCCACATGGTCCCAGATCAAACAGCTGACACTGCGTACAGTGAGGGCTCCAAACTCTTATCTGCCTGGTGAAGCCATGGATGCTTTCTCCTGGCCACACTGCCTTACGGGGAGGCCAGCCTGAAGAAGTGACTTTCCGGCTCTGGCAGCTTTCTGATCCAAACAGACCAGGCGCTCCTTCTACAGAACTCTGCCAGAGTGCAGGCGACATCGGATTTGAGTTATTGGCAGACCACAAATGGAGTTTTTCTACAAAACTAATAAAGAGCTGGCTGTAGTTCTTAAGTAGGTGGTGAAGGACGGAGCTGCCAGAACAGTGCAGTCAGTGGGGTCCCTACTGCATCCTCTCCCCAGGGGCCTGCTGTGGCACTCACTGTTTGCCAGTGCCAGTTCACACAGCATAGAGGAGAAGGTGTTATAAACTCTCTGTGCATTGGAGAAAGTAACAAAGCCTTCTCACACATTTGGCAAATGAAAAGCAAAGGTTAACAACTTTCCAGTCTGTGTGAGTCACACGATTCTCTCAAACCATGAAATGCTGGGGCCTCTGGGCTGCCTTCCCAGCCTGTGAACTGATGTGCCCTCAGAGACTAGCTATAAAACTTAATAGTCTCTTGTGCATAAATAATCCAAAATGAAAGTCTGCTACCTACCTTCTGATGTCATATAATTAACCCCAAAGTTAATATAAATTCTGGGTTAATATGTATCAGCTTCCTTCCACTGGGACATAGAATGAACATTTTCTGCTAACATGTCATGATTTGCCCCTGGAAAGTCTAGTATATTCGTCTTTCCCTGTGTCATTTTACTTCTCAGGGAGCTTTGCTGAGCTCATCCCAATAGTCATCACCCCAGCAGTACAGGGGCTGGAAGGTCAGTGCAACAGGTGTTCACTCCTGCTCACCTGGACAAGACACTATTCCAAAGGCTGGCTCTAGGCAGCTGGAAAATATAAAGAAATGGAGTGAATGACTGATTAACTTTACGGAAAAGAACTATCAGGCAATGAAGTAGTTCTTCCTGTCCCCCTGCCATCCGGGAGTTCAGAGGGTGAGGGCATCGGCCACCCTGGAGGGCTTGGACCTGTATGGTTCTGAAGCCTGTGCTCCTGACTTCCACATTAGATTCCTCCCAATGCGACTACCACACTGAGGCCTGGAGAGAAAGACTGCCCGTGCTCAATGGCAGCCAGTCGGAAATGGCACAGCCACGCCAACCATTTTGCTTCCCAAACAGGATTCGGAAAAGTGCAAATGGGAACACAAAGGGCGCTTAGTCCCAGGTTTGCTATTAACTAGTCGTGTCACTTGTGTGCAGGTGATGTTAGGTGACCAGACGTCCCGCTTTTGGCTGGACAGTCCTGATTTTTAACAATTTGTCCCATGTCAGGTGGCGTTTTAAAGAATTCCCGATATTTTGGAAAGATTCCAAAAATTGGGACTTATTTAAAATGCCGTGGGATGCAGGCCAAACCCTTTCAGCACTCAGCTGCCCGGTCATAAAAATGGCCCAATGGGACACTTCCTCTTCTACAATACTGGTTTGGGAAACTTGCCTGAAACTTGAAACAGGAAACGTTTGTTTGTAGAAAATGCTCTTTTATGAACGAGGAATATGAGCATGCTATTTTTACATCGAAAACACCTGATTACATTTGAGAACAAGAACATACCCAGAGGTTTTCAGGCCACACCTGAACCTTCTGATGTCATGGCTAGGAAGACCCTACAGCAGGCAGATCTCTGTCAAAATTGGCAGCTACCCTTCCTTTGTCAGCCAGCCCCCTCTCCTCTCACCTCCCTCTGAAAATCCACCATAAGAGTATTTCCAAAGTGTGGCCTGTGGAAGGTCTGGACTGTACAAGTGCAGACCCCTGAGTTCCTCACTAGACCTGCTGAATCATAAATTCTGGTTGGGGGACCCCAAGATATGAACTTTAAAAAGAGATTTCCAAGTGATTCTGCTGCACACTAAAGTGTGGGCTCCTGTACCAGGGAGGGGATGACATAGCTCTCTGTCAGGCCTACAAAGGAGCATCGGGCCTTTGTGATGAATTGTGAGCAGCTGTGTGGCCTGGAGAGCACTGTGGGGAGACGGGACACGTCCAGGATCCCCTTAAGGACCTCCCCTAGGGCAGGTTTTAGAGGCTTCCTCAGCCCTCAGTTCTTAAGCTTTGGAAGTCCCACCTCCTATCACATTAATCACCAGAACACACTCATATTGTGCAGCAAATAACTATAATTCTTCTATTTAGGGAAGGAAACGGAGTTATTTGCTTTTTAATATTTTAAAAATATTTGATTAACTGATTATTTCTGGGCAATCATCAAGTAGGTGATAGTTAAATTCAACATTGAAATTGACATTTTGCAGTTAATAAAATATTAAATTTCAGTCTTGCATTGTATTTTGGGCTCAAAACTTATTTCTCAGGTCCCAACCAGAGACCCATGCAGTGTCTCTTGAATGGAACACCTGCCCAACGGGCTCACAGCGGGGTTGGCTGTCCACAGGGAAATGGGGATGAGGGGAAGCAGTTGGTAAATCAGGTGTCATGACGTTTATATTCTCAGCGTGCAGCCTTCAGACATCTTTATTGATTTTATTTTGATACGAGAGGGCACAGGCCAGGCTGAGGGATCCCTCTGGTGCATGATCAGGCTGGGGAGGGACTGCAAGAGGGCTCCAGGGTGAGCCTAGCCCATCCAGCTCAGTTCTGATGGGCCACATTAATCCTTATTCATTTTTTACATGCTCAGAGCATAGACACTGCCCAGCAAAGGGCAGACTTATTAGGTCCAGTTCAATATGGCCAGGGTACACCCCAGCAGCAAGCTAACCTACCAGTTTGAGCATCTGCCCCTTGGTGAGCAGTTGAGCAGCTTTAGTATATCATTAGCATATTACACTCTTGATTGGTTGTTCAGTTCTGCTGTTTGGTCTATTTGCATATTACCCTTTTATTATATGGGATTAGAGGCCTGGTGCATGAAAATCCCTGTACTGGGGGACAGGTGTGTCTCTTAACCAGGCCTGCTGTCATTCACAGTACAGGAGCTCTCAGGGGTGGGAGGTGACCCAGTGATCAGGAGAAGGCAATACCCCATCACACCCCTGCTGCTGCCACTGCTGGCAGTGCAGGCCTTGGCCGGCCTTGGTGACCTGAGCCTTGGTGGCCCTAGGTGGCTGGGTAGCCAACATCTGAGACTTGCCTGCACCTAGGGCTGGCCCTGGGCAGCTTGGGGGTTGAGGGGACTAAGGGACTCTGGAGGCAGGTGCGCCCACCTGGGGGCAGGTCCAGCCTTGCCATGTCTGCTGCCCTAGTGGGGTTGAGGGGACTGGGCACTGCCATCTTTGAGGGTGGGACAGTCAATTAGCATATTCCCTCCTTATTGGTTGTGGGCACTGCCATCTTTGGGATGGTGTGAGGGTCAATTAGCATATTCCCTCTTTATTAGATAGGATTCCCTTCGCATCTTCCTTCCCTGCCCAGGAATGCTTAAGCACAATCCACAACACAATCTGCAAGTTATTTTTACACATTGAAGGTATCCCCAGTCTCTTTTATACTAGAGGCCTGGTGCACAAAACTTCATGAGGCGGGGGTTCCTCAGCCCTCAGACTTGTTAGGTCCAGTTCAGTATGGCTAGGGTACATTCCCAGGTTACATAATACAGACAGCTGTACTTTCTTAAATTCTCAGACCAGATTTTCTAAATGGTAACGAAAAGTTAAAT